TAACCTAAGGGTGAGCGTCAGTCCGTCCACTCTCTCTCTCTCTCTCTCTCTTTCTCTCTCTCTCTCTCTCTCTCTCTCTCTCTCTCTCTCTCTCTCTCTCACGTTGGAAAAAAGTTAAAGTCTCCAACACATGCGCACAAGTGTTATTTTGTTGGTACTGAATAACGCGGAAATCATCAACTGTTATTTTGTAATTTATCGCCATGACAAAAACATTTATTTGGTATATCCTTATCACATAGCAGTAATCACCACGTTAACACCATCAGATATGACTAATTACCGTCATTATTCTTCCCTGCATCATCATTATCATTTTGTGTCATTATCATGGATACGTAATGACATATATCAAGGATAAGTTACTGATAATGTTATGGGGATAATCAGTGTAACTTCTACGGACTAGACGGGAAAATGAACCCGTGCGGAAGAGTGTGTTGAGAGTGTGTTATATACTCTTACCTGTACCGTACACCTTCAACAATACAACACCTGTGCTTAGGCCTTGGCGGAATAACTCCAAGACAGATTCACTTCCTCTTAAGGTGGTGCAGTAACCCACTAGCTGCTGCATGTTAAAGACTGAGGGGAGAAACATGCTTGTATATATATATGAAGGAAAAAAATTGGTTTGGCACTTCAATTACACAACCTTGGAATTTAGTCATTTTCTTCCCCTCTCAACCCCCCCTCCTCCTCCTCCTCCCTTCCCCCCTCATTGGGTTTTCTGTTCCTCGTATCCTCACAACACAAATTTGGGAAAAATTATAGATATCAGAACAAATTAAGGCATTATTCCTCTTATAACTTAAAACACACACTTCAAGGATCCTAATTAACACCAAATCTTTGAACTCTTAATGATACAACAACATAAGTAACAAAGACGACACTTACCTGGGAATATAATGATATAAATATAATGTTTCTCGTAACCTAAACCCGCTGCTGAATATTCAACGTTTAAGGCCACCAACTTTGATGGTGTCTGTCTTAGAACTAACACACCCACCTGGATTATGGTAGTCTTAATAAGTGCTGAATAGTAACATACCCACTTGAGGTAACATACACAGAATATCTTGAGTGATAATGATATACCTCCTGGAACTTGAATTTTATGTAGTATATCTGGAGTCTGTTGGTATATCTCTGTATAATTCGTTGGGCCTTAAATACAGGCACTATATAATTTGGGTGCATATAAAGTAATATACCTTGAATGTTATTTATACCTTTTTCTGAACCTGAATTAATAAAGGATCTTAACCCTTTGAGTCCTAGAGGGTAAAATCATCGTCCTCTAAAAGGGTTAAACATCGTCCTCAAAGGGTTAAGTATAGTCAATAAAGGGTTAAACCATCGTCACCAAAGGGTTAAACCATCGTCATCAAAGGGTTAAACCATCGTCATCAAAGGGTTAAACCATCGTCCTCAAAGGGTTAAACAGTGGTCTTCAAGGGGTTAAACCATTATCCTCAAAGGGTTAAACCTCATCCTCAAAGGGTTAAATCAGCATCCTCAAGGGGGTTAAACTGATATAGAAAGTTAGATCTTGGATTTTGTGTTTAGAAGTTGTTCCATATACCATCTGAAGTCTTCAAGTAAAATGGGACCTCTTGGTTAGTAATGAAAGGTCCTCCACAACTGATCTCCCGCTGGGGTCTTGAGAGATACGTGGTAATGTGTGTCACTGTCAGTTAATCCTTCCTGTATCATGCACGTGAGCGGTTAAGACTCTTGTGGGGGATTACCTGAAGATTAGCCGCCCCTGCTTATTTCAGAGTAGGATTAACCACCCTAACGCTAACTAACCTAACCTAACCTTACCTTACCTTACCTTACCTTACCTTACCTTATCTTCCCCAGGTAGCGTTAGGGTGTTTAATTATGAGGTAAATAAGCTGGGGGCTAAGCTTGACATAATCATCGAGTGATGCATAATCTTCAACTATTGCATTATTATTATTATTATTATTATTATTATTATTATTATTATTATTAAGATTGTTATGACTTATTATTATTATTGTTGTTGTATTTCTTGGAACTTCTGTAAACATTCTCGCGTGAAGTGATATGCTTTTAATGTTTGTATGATGTATAATTCAGATGTATAATTTTCAACTTTAATCATAGAGGCTTTTGTGATTCATATACTGTGCTCTTCTGATAAGGAGTTGAGCTGTTTGTAAATCTCAAAAGTTTGTTGGGTGAGGGGGTGGGGGGAGGGGGTGAGGGAGATGGTGGGGTGAGGGGTGACGGAGATAGTGGGGGAGGGGGTGAGAGAGATGGTGGGGTGAGGGGGGTGCTGGGGGGTGAGGGTGTGGAATTAATATGCATTTTGAGGAAGTTTGAGGAGGAAAACTATTATGCTTCTTGAGGACTGCGGAGGAAGGAGGAAATTACTATGCATCTTCAAGAGGCAGGAAGGAAAATATTATTGTGCATTTTAAAGAAGTTGGATGGAAAATTATTTTACATTTTAAAGGCTTGAGGAATATTATTATACATCTCAGGACTGTTGGGGAAGAGTTATTAAGAGTGTTGGAGAAGAGTTATTAAGACTGTTGGAGAAGTTATTAAGACTGTTGGAGAACAGTTATTAAGACTGTTGAAGAAGAGTTATTAAGACTGTTAGAGAAGAGTTATTAAGACTGTTGGAGAAGAGTTATTAAGACTGTTGGGGAAGAGTTATTAAGACTGTTGGAGAAGAGTTATTAAGACTGTTGGAGAAGAGTTATTAAGACTGTTGGAGAAGAGTTATTAAGACTGTTGGAGAAGTTATTAAGACTGTTGGAGAAGAGTTATTAAGACTGTTGGAGAAGAGTTATTAAGACTGTTGGAGAAGAGTTATTAAGACTGTTGGAGAAGAGTTATTAAGACTGTTGGAGAAGAGTTATTAAGACTGTTGGAGAAGAGTTATTAAGACTGTTGGAGAAAGTTATTAAGACTGTTGGGGAAGAGTTATTAAGACTGTTGGAGAAGAGTTATTAGACTGTTGGGAAGAGTTATTAAGACTGTTGGAGAGAGAAAGTTATTAAGACTGTTGAAAGAGTTATTAAGACTGTTGGAGAAGAGTTATTAAGACTGTTGGAGAGAAGTTAATATTAAGACTGTTGGAGAAAGAGTTATTAGACTGTTGAAGAAGATTTATTAAGACTGTTGGAGAGAAGAGTTATTAAGACTGTTGAGAAGAGTTATTACAGACTTCATTGGAGAAAGAGTTATTAGACTGTTGGAGAAGGTTATTAAGACTGTTGGAAGAGTTATTAAGACTGTTGGAGAGAGTTATTAAGACTGTTGGAAGAGTTATTATTAAGACTGTTAGGGAAGAGTTATTAAGACTGTTGGAGAAAGAGAGTTATTAAGACTGTTGGAGAGAAGAGTTATTAAGACTGTTGGGGGAAGTTATTAAGACTGTTGGAGAAGAGTTATTAAGACTGTTGGAGAAGAGTTATTAAGACTGTTGGAGAAGAGTTATTAAGACTGTTGGAGAAGTTATTAAGACTGTTGGAGAAGAGTTATTAAGACTGTTGGAGAAGAGTTATTAAGACTGTTGGAGAAGAGTTATTAAGACTGTTGGAGAAGAGTTATTAAGACTGTTGGAGAAGTTATTAAGACTGTTGGAGAAGAGTTATTAAGACTGTTGAAGAAGAGTTATTAAGACTGTTGAAGAAGAGTTATTAAGACTGTTAGAGAAGAGTTATTAAGACTGTTGGAGAAGAGCTATTAAGACCGCTGGAGAAGAAAATTATTATCCACCTCAAAGACTCTGAGAGGCAGAGAATTTATGCATCTTGAAGGGTGTCCACTGAGACTCTTGGCCTGCCACTATCGTCTCCTGGGCAAGTGCATCGTTTTCTCACGGGAGGTTCTTCTTCTTCTTCTTCTTCTTCTTCTTCTTCTTCTTCTTCTTCTTCTTCTTCTTCTTCTTCTTCTTCTTCTTCTTCTTCTTCTTCTTCTTCTTCTTCTTCTTCTTCTTCTTCTTCTTCTTCTTCTTCTTCTTCTTCTTCTTCTTCTTCTTCTTCTTCTTCTTCTTCTTCTTCTAACTTCTTCTTCTTCTTCTTCTTCTTCTTCTTCTTCTTCTTCTTCTTCTTCTTCTTCTTCTTCTTCTTCTTCACTTCTTCTTCTTCTTCTTCTTCTTCTTCTTCTTCTTCTTCTTCTTCTTCTTCTTCTTCTTCTTCTTCTTCTTCTTCTTCTTCTTCTTCTTCTTCTTCTTCCTTCCTTCTTCTTCTTCTTCTTCTTCTTCTTCTTCTTCTTCTTCTTCTTCTTCCTTCTTCTTCTTCTTCTTCTTCTTCTTCTTCTTCTTCTTCTTCTAACTTCTTCTTTAATATTCTTCTTCTTCAGCCCTTCTTCTTCTTTAATAGCCCCTTCTTCCTTCTTCTTCTTCTTCTTCTTCAATATTCTTCTTCTTCAACTTCTTCTTCTTCTTCTTCTTCTTCTTCTTCTTCTTCTTCTTCTTCTTCTTCTTCTTCTTCTTCTTCTTCTTCTTGAATTCTTATTTTTTCTTTCTTCTCCTTCTTCTTGGATTCTTCTTCTTCTTCTTCTTTACTTCCCTTTTCTCCCTCCTTCTCCTCCCCCTTCTAATTTTCTTTCCTTTCTCCCTCCTTCTCCTCCTCTCCATAGGTCTTAGAGATTAGCTCCTTGAACCCAAAAGTGCCTCAGTTGAAAGTGATTTTATGTCTCTTTAACGTGAAAGTGAGTCCATACATATAAGTTGAAGATGAGTTGATGTCGTTTAATTGAAAGTGAGGTTTATTTCTCCAAGTGGAAGGTGATTTTGTTATTCAACAGCATGGCGTTGTAGCGTGGAGACAGTGAACGTATAGCTCTTAAATGCGGGAATAATTAACGTAGAGCGGTATAGCGTGACTGGAGTATAGCCTGACACCAATTAGCATGACCTAGATCTTTTTTTCTTTTTTTTTCTCCGTTTTACTGCCTAGTTTAGTTCGGGACATGTAGCGTGTCCTCAAGTCGTTTAGGATGTGTACCGTGTCCTGTTGTGGCATATCCTTGGGGTGTAGTTCAGGATATGTACCGTGTCTTAGTGTAGCGTGTTCACCATGCACTTTTGGACATGTGCAGCTTCCTGGTGTGGTGTGTTTCAATGCATCACCTTGTAGCGTGTTCACCATGTACTTCTGGACGTGTGCAGCTTCCTGGTGTGGTGTGTCTCAATGCATCATCTTGTAGCGTGTTCACCATGTACTTCTGGACGTGTGCAGCTTCCTGGTGTGGTGTGTTTCAATGCATCATCTTGTAGCGTGTTCACCATGTACTTCTGGACGTGTGCAGCTTCCTGGTGTGGTGTGTCTCAATGCATCATCTTGTAGCGTGTTCACCATGTACTTCTGGACGTGTGCAGCTTCCTGGTGTGGTGTGTCTCAATGCATCATCTTGTAGCGTGTTCACCATGTACTTCTGGACGTGTGCAGCTTCCTGGTGTGGTGTGTCTCAATGCATCATCTTGTAGCGTGTTCACCATGTACTTCTGGACGTGTGCAGCTTCCTGGTGTGGTGTGTCTCAATGCATCATCTTGTAGCGTGTTCACCATGTACTTCTGGACGTGTGCAGCTTCCTGGTGTGGTGTGTCTCAATGCATCATCTTGTAGCGTGTTCACCATGTACTTCTGGACGTGTGCAGCTTCCTGGTGTGGTGTGTCAATGCATCATCTTGTAGCGTGTTCACCATGTACTTCTGGACGTGTGCAGCTTCCTGGTGTGGTGTGTCTCAATACCATCTTGTAGCGTGTTCACCATGTACTTCTGGACGTGTACAGCTTCCTGGTGTGGTGTGTCTCAATGCATCATCTTGTAGCGTGTTCACCATGTACTTCTGGACGTGTGCAGCTTCCTGGTGTGGTGTGTCTCAATGCATCATCTTGGCGTGTTCTGCATGCACTTTGGACGTGTACGCTTCCCGTGTGGTGTGTCTCAATGCATCATCTTGGCGTGTTCACCATGTACTTCTGGACGTGTGCAGCTTCCTGGTGTGGTGTGTCTCCAATGCACTATCTTGTAACGTGTTCACCATGTACTTCTGGACTGTGCAGCTTCCTGGTGTAGTGTCTCAATGCATCATCTTGTAGCGTGTTCACCATGTACTTCTGGACTGTGCAGCTTCCTGGTGTGGTGTGTCTCAGCAATGCACCATCTTGCTTGTGTTCACCATGTACTTCTGGACGTGTGCAGCTTCCTGGTGTGGTGTCTCAATGCACCCATCTTGGCAACGTGTTCACCATGTACTTGCGCCTGGATTGCAGCTTCTGGTGTGGTGTGTCTCAATGCACTATCTTGTAGCGTATTCACATGTACTTCTGGACTGTGCAGCTTCCTGGTGTGGTGTGTCTCAATGCATCATCTTGTAGCGTGTTCACCATGTACTTCTGGACGTGTGCAGCTTCCTGGTGTGGTGTGTTTCAATGCATCATCTTGTAGCGTGTTCACCATGTACTTCTGGACGTGTGCAGCTTCCTGGTGTGGTGTGTCTCAATGCATCATCTTGTAGCGTGTTCACCATGTACTTCTGGACGTGTGCAGCTTCCTGGTGTGGTGTGTCTCAATGCACCATCTTGTAGCGTGTTCACCATGTACTTCTGGACGTGCAGCTTCCTGGTGTGGTGTGTCTCAATGCATCATCTTGGCGTGTTCACCATGTACTTCTGGACGTGTGCAGCTTCTGGTGTGGTGTGTCTCAATGCATCATCTTGTAGCGTGTTCACCATGCACTTCTGGCGTGTGCAGCTTCCTGGTGTGGTGTGTCTCAATGCATCATCTTGTAGCGTGTTCACCATGCACTTCTGGACGTGTGCAGCTTCCGTGTGGTGTGTCTCAATGCATCATCTTGTAGCGTGTTCTATGTACTTCTGGACATGTGCAGCTTCCTGGTGGTGTGTCTCAATGCATCATCTTGTAGCGTGTTCACCATGTAATTCTGGACGTGTGCAGCTTCCGGTGTGGTGTGTCTCATGCATCATCTTAGCGTGTTCACCATGCACTTCTGGACGTGTGCAGCTTCCTGGTGTGGTGTGTCTCAATGCATCCTCTTGTGCGTGTTCACCATGTACTTCTGGACGTGTGCAGCTTCCTGGTGTGGTGTGTCTCAATGCATCATCTTGTAGCGTGTTCACCATGTACTTCTGGACATGTGCAGCTGCCTGGTGTGGTGTGTCTCAATGCATCATCTTGTAGCGTGTGTTCACCATGTACTTCTGGACGTGTGGCTTCCTGGTGTGGTGTGTCAATGCATCATCTTGTAGCGTGTTCACCATGTACTTCTGGACGTGTGCAGCTTCCTGGTGTGGTGTGTCTCAATGCATCATCTTGTAGCGTGTTCACCATGCACTTCTGGACGTGTGCAGCTTCCTGGTGTGGTGTGTCTCTGCATCATCTTGTAGCGTGTTCACCATGTACTTCTGGACATTGCGCTGCCTGGTGTGTGTGTCTCAATGCATCATCTTGTAGCGTGTTCACCATGTACTTCTGGACGTGTGCAGCTTCCTGGTGTGGTGTGTCTCAATGCATCATCTTGTAGCGTGTTCACCATGTACTTCTGGACGTGTGCAGCTTCCTGGTGTGGTGTGTCTCAATGCATCATCTTGTAGCGTGTTCCCGCACTTCTGGACGTGTGCAGCTTCCTGGTGTGGTGTGTCTCAATGCATCATCTTGTAGCGTGTTCACCATGCACTTCTGGACGTGTGCAGCTTCCTGGTGGTGTGTCTCAATGCATCATCTTGTAGCGTGTTCACCATGTACTTCTGGACGTGTGCAGCTTCCTGGTGTGGTGTGTCTCAATGCATCATCTTGTAGCGTGTTCACCATGTACTTCTGGACTGTGCAGCTGCCTGGTGTGGTGTGTCCAATGCATCATCTTGTAGGTGTTCACCATGTAATTCTGGACGTGCAGCTTCCTGGTGTGGTGTGTCTCAATGCATCTTGTAGCGTGTTCACCATGCACTTCTGGACGTGCAGCTTCCTGGTGTGGTGTGTCTCAATGCATCATCTTGTAGCGTGTTCACCATGTACTTCTGGACTGTGCAGCTGCCTGGTGTGGTGTGTCTCAATGCATCATCTTGTAGCGTGTTCACCATGTACTTCTGGACGGTGCAGCTTCCTGGTGTGGTGTGTCTCAATGCATCATCTTGTAGGTGTTCACCATGTACTTCTGGACGTGCAGCTGCCTGGTGTGGTGTGTCTCAATGCATCATCTTGTAGGTGTTCACCATGCACTTCTGGACATGTGCAGCTTCCTGGTGTGGTGTGTCTCAATGCATCATCTTGTAGCGTGTTCACCATGTACTTCTGGACATGTGCAGCTTCCTGGTGTGGTGTGTCTCAATGCATCATCTTGTAGCGTGTTCAACCCGTATACCGTGTCTTCATGTGAGAGTAGGTTAGAAAATATACAGAGCATCCTGTTATTGCATATCCCTGTGTAGCTTGAGCCTTATAGCGTGTCCCCATGTAGTTCAGGACCTACGCTGCGTCCTGGTCTGGCGTGTCCTTGGGTGGTTTAGACAGGAGCGTGTGGCTGTGTGTCTGGCCCCTAAAATGACCAAGACTTTCCTCCAACACTAGGAAGAAAACACGATGTATACATCTCTCTTCCCCCGAGTCCCCTTCCCCGCCAAACCTGTTACTTTTTAATATTTTATTTTTTCATGATTTTTTTACTTTTGTTTACTTGGTTTGTCCTGTTGTTTTTTTTAATGGTTTTGGTTTGTTTTTTCTTAATGTGGCATTCACAGCGCTGAGTTGTAGTTTTGCGTTGTGTGTGTAATAATAATAAATAATGATAATAATTAACGGTTTATTGAAAAAGTCGGCAGCCCGAAAGCTGAAAATATACATTAGACAAAAATGACTTATTACATACAAAGACATGGGGTGGGTGGGTCGTTTAACAAAAGCTTTCATTACTAAAAGAAGAAGAAACAATTATTGAACATACAAATTATTATAGTTTACAGTTGATGGCCCGGGCCTGGACTGGTCGTAGAGACACCAGGTGGTGAGGTGTTCACGTGGTGTAGTAACTCGTCCTCGGGTGTTGATATGAAGGACCTCACTTGGCCATAGAGACACCGGGTGGTGTGGTGTTCACTTGGTGTAGTAACTTGTCCTTGGGTGTTGATGTGAAGGACCTCACGTGGTCATGGGGACACCGTGTGATGTGGGGTGGTGTCACAGTACCTCACTGCACGGTGATGTTGTGTTATCCCGTAGTCAGGTGCATAGCCGGCCGGCCCTCTGTTGTTCCCGGAGGGATTATTAGCACCTTCTTGTCAGAAGATGGCGGTTAGTTCCCAGGGGTGCTTATATCACTGGTGGGTCGCGGCTTTCACTGGTACTGTCTAGTGCTGAATTCACTGGCTTAAACACTGTTCATCACTGTTCAACACTGATCCCACTTCTTTCCGAAACGAAATTGTCACTTTTGATTATGTAGATATCCCTGTGGTGAGGATGGGTCGGGGAGAATGGGACTTGGGGAATGGGCCGACATTGACCAAGGGGGGCAGCTGCGTAGCGGGAGCAGCGCCTGAATAGGTCTTGACCCTATGGTGGTCAAGGATGTGTGTGTGTGTGTGTGTGTGTGTACTATAAGATGTGTGGGGAAGACGAGCCTTACTGACGTTCAAATGCACACACACACACACACACACACACACACACACACACACACACACACACACACACACACACACACACACACACACACACACACACACACACACACAGAGGAGATATCACTCATCACAACCCCACTTCAGCTCCCAACAAGGCAAACATTATTTCCTTCATTGTACCGGAGAAAACTTGCCTTCATATAGAACGAAGCCGCCGGAACAAGCTGATGATGTATGTGCTTATGAGGGCAATAGCTGTTTTTGGTATATAGATGTGTGTGTGTGTGTGTATGTGTGTGGGGTGCACGCCAGTCCTACTACAAATATAAAACTTTAATCTCCAAAATAAAAACATCCCAATCAATGTTCAAACAAATTCCATGATTTGTTTTTCTGTTTTGGTATTTAGTTTCTGTTTTTTTTGTTTTTGTATCCATCAACGCGGACACACACACACACACACACACACACACACACACACACACACACACACACACACACACACACACACACACACACACACACAC